CTCAGCTCACCCACAGGCTCATCTCATCATCAGCATCCTCATCATCAGATCATCTACAACCAACCCGGACGAGCTCAGTCCCTAGTCGATCGAACTACTCCCAAACGAACCTACTCACTCAACCATCATCACTCTCAAGCAGACAACCTCAGAAGCGAATCATTTGGCTCATCTGCTCGCTACTCACTCTCATCCTCAACCAACTCATCATCAAAACACTACACTCAACCCCACTACCACCACCAAATTGATCGTCTCAACAGCCTCCATCATCAAACTCAACCACTCAATAACCACTTCATCCCTCCCATTCGCACCTCCAACTTCACCATCCAAGAACCCAACCTCCTCAGCTTCTCAAACCTCTCCCTCCACCATCGCCCCTCATCATCCATACAGCCTTCCATACCCCAATTCAACTCGGACAGCCCCGGACTGGGCTCGATTCAAGAGAGTACCACCTACAAAGGTTTCGACCAACAAGCCCCCCTATCTGGTCAGTCAATCTCAACAATACAACTTCTGTCCCCAAAACCTTAATCCTACCTGAATCACTGCGCAATCCTAGCCCTCCTTCTGTGAGAGGCCTAACCTCAGATCTCTCTCTCTCTCTCTCTGCTGTCAAACTCTTGACTTCAACAAATCATCTCTTACCCTCTTTGCCACTCTCTCAAATACTTTTTCTGACTTTGGTTCTCTCTTCCATCTCATCTCATCATATTAGATCTATCCTATTCCCATTCAATCCATCGAAAACCTTCTGTTGACCTGGATCACAATTCCATCTACGCTCGAATGTCCAGTATGCCCTCCGATCAAACCCTCTCAGGCTCACAGTCTGGCCAACTCTCACCCCTCCTCATCCGTCCCCGCAAATCTTGCGAATCCGTCCGAGTCATGCCCACCCAACCCAAACAGAGTACTGCCAACGATTGCTCCTTCAGCTTCTCCAGCGGTCCCTCCTCCCGACCTTGTCAACCTACCACCACCCTCACCTCTCGTCCACCTATCGTCTACCCCGCACTACTCAGTCGAGTTGCCGAAGCCTTCCGAAGTTGGATCATGCTTGCCGAACGGACTAAGGATGGGCTGACGTATACCGAATGTTTTGATGGCCGAGAAGCCGACAAAATCACCTATATCATCAAGACCACCCACCGGAACCTAGCCCTCCTACTAGGTCGTGCACTCGACTCTCAGAAGTTCTTCCACGATGTTACTTACGATCACAGGTGGCGTGACAGTCATCACGAGCTCTATCAGTTCAGAGGTACCCTCACCAACACCTTCACAGCCGAACAAGATAATCCCAGGAACTCGACCCATGATTCACTCCAGCAAACCTCAAGACCAATCTCAGAGGCACAATCTGAACTAGACGGGCTAGAGGAGGAAGAAGCTCAGGAGGATGAGGTAACGGAGGAGGAGGATTATGTCTTACCCTGTGGGGTGTTCACCCTTCTCACCGATTGTTACTCACCAACCTGTACGAGGGATAGGCTGTGTTACTCGATCGCTTGTCCCTGTCGACTCGAACAACAGGCACGATTAAATCTGAAGCCGAAACCAGGGCTACAACGAAGCCTATCAACCGAATCCCTCAGTGATCTCAAAGAACCTGGAAAACTTTGGATTCATTCAGTTCCTCAAGAGGTTGTTGACTCGGTTAATGATACCGAGAAGAAACGCCAGGAAGCTATCAATGAGTGCATTTACACCGAAAGGGATTTTGTTAGAGATCTAGAATACTTACGTGATGTACGTCTGATCTGATTATATCAATATGTTGACACACTCAGGCCTTATCTTGTGCGATCCCCCCCCCCCCTCTTAGGTGTGGATCAAGCCACTACAGGCTTCCAATATCATTCCCGAAGCTCGACGACAGGACTTTCTGAGTCAAGTATTCTGGAACGTCCTCGAAGTCTTATCGGTTAACTCTCGATTATGCGAGCTACTCTCGAAACGGCAGAAGTCGGCTCACGTTGTCCCACATATCGCTGACATCTATCTCTAGCTGGTCCCTCACTTCTCTCCCTTCGTGAAGTATGGTGCTCATCAGCTGTATGGAAAGTACGAGTTCGAACGTGAGAAAAGTGCGAACCCAGCTTTTGCAAAGTTTGTCGATGTTGGTTATTGGTTCTCTTCCCTATCACTCTCCTTGACCTTTGACCTACTTGGAAACACCTATTCTCAACTCGGCTCGTCCTAAGCTCCTTCATCACCTTCCACACCACGCAGGGTCGCCCATCCGGCCCGGTCTGCCACTGGCCCTCCTGGCCTCTCGGGCTCTAGTTACACTTGTGGATCATTCTCAAGACGTCCATCCATTAGCAGACTGGATTCTGTTCGACAGAATCAATCGATCGATAAGCAAAGTCGGAAGCTGAAAGAGCTGCGATTGGCTGAGCTCATCAGACAACTCGAGCTCACCGAACTCCAACACAATTGCCCCCATCCTCAGTACCATCCACCTGTCCCTCCACCATCAATGTCTCGGCCAATGACGCCTGTCAGCACGTTATCAGTTGAAAAGGGTGGCCCTCCCCTCTGCGATGAGGATCTGATTTGGGAACAAAAGCGACGAGAAGCTGATGAGTTAAACGCGAGGATCGAAGCACTCCGGCAAGCGGGCATGCCCTCATCCGAACTTCCAAGCCCAGTCCTACTGCCCATTCGGCCACTATCAAAGACCCGGACAGACAAGCCGAATCTGAACTGCGTTCCGCCTCGTGACTACCCGGTCCCACCACTTCCATCCTTCCCAACCAAGGCTGGACTAAGACGTCAGGCTTCCAAAAAATCATTACATTCCATCTCTTCTCATCATTCTAAGTCGCCCGCACCACCGCTCTCTCAACCGAATCAGAACCGAGATCGGACTGCAAGTGTAAGCGACACGAGTTACTATTCAGCCCTCAAAGAAGCCGAAGGTGTGATTTCCAGCCTGCGTAAATCACACGACGACCTACTAGAGAAAGTGACCCGTTTGGAGAATCAACTGGACCTCAAAGAGGCCGAGAATCAAGACCTGACCACTCGTAATAACCGATTGGAGACCTACCTTGTCGATGAACAAAAGGCCAAAGAGAACATTCAAAGAGAAAACGAGCGAGCGATGAATCAATTAAGATTGCTCTCACGAAGCCAACCTCCTCATCCTCTCAACAGAGGGGACCCGCCAAGCCAACTACATACTCCAGCCGAACCGTCTCAATCCCTTCATGGACACAACCATCTTTCTCCATCTGGGTCTGGGCCACTAGACCAAAAACTTTCACAAGCGAGGGCGGAACTATTGAGACGAGAAGAAAATGCACAGAAACAATACGCCTACAGAACTGCCTCTCTTACTTCAGAGCTCAGTGGGCAAGTATCCACGGTGAGTGAACGTTGAGAGACAAGTTTGTTGAAAGCCGACAGCAAGTGTTAATGATTCAACCTCCCACCCCTGAAAAAAAAAACAGTCAGGACACAGCCATCCCTCACCTGCGCCCATGAGCAAAGGATCCCAACCACAACATCATCGCAATCTCTATGAACCAACACAGCCTAGTGGATATCAATTCCCGCCCAATCCACAACATCTAAGTCACCCCTTCCATCCAGAAGTACACCGTGAAACAGGCCTCCCAAGCCACCCGGCCTCAATGCCCTTCCATCGATACCCCGACCCTGCCTATCCTCCTGAAATGGCCTAAACCTGCGATCGACGAGCCTTCCTCAGCTCAAAATGGCTTCCATCCTCCTCATCCTGCTAATCCTCTCTATCCTCAATTCTGAACACCGGCTCCTCAATAAAGAACACACACCTACCAAACAGTCCATCTATGTCAAAATCTTACATGTCAATGCTTTTTCTCACTATTTTCTCTTACATCTTTGAACGATTATAGGAAGCAGAACGACTACCAGAATCCAGAAAACTGGAGCTGAATGCCTATCTCACAAAACCGACGACTCAACTAGCTCGGTACCCTTTACTGTTAGAGGTCGTACTCAAATATACTCCCGACGATCATATCGATAAAACCGAGATTCCGAAGGTCGTCAAGATGATTCGGGAACTTCTGGCCAAAGTGAATATCGAGACCGGGAAGAGTGAAAACAGATTCAATTTAGCTCAACTCGACCAACAACTTGTGTTTAGACAAGGAGAAGCCGTTGTCAGTATATACATATTAACCATCTCTCTCTCTCTCTCTCTCATCGTAAAATTTTGTTTTGACGGTTTGTCGCCCTTTGATGATGATGATTACTTCAGGATCTACGGTTACGAGAGGAAGGTCGAGAACTAATCTACAAGGGACAACTGAAGAAGAGAGGAGGAAGCGGTAGTGATAGTGCCGAGTTGCAAGTCTATCTGTTCGATCATGCACTGTTGATGGTCAAACACAAACATTCAAACAAGACCGACCAATTGAAGGTCTACTGGAAGCCGATCCCACTCGAGCTACTAACGGTGACGGGAGTAACAAATCAAGAAGATGGAAGTGCGGGCGGGCGAGGACTGAACTCGAACAAGAAATCATTGATGACCCGGAACAGTGGATCAGATAAGGGAAAGGGTGTCGGGACGAGTGTTAGCTCGAACGGGGTCGTCGTACCAATTCAGGCCCAGAATAAGGCCGGCTTCTCGATGACTATCAATCTACTCGGGCGCAGAGGTTACTCGATCGTCCTCTGGGCTCCTACACCTCAATCTAGACAGAAATGGCTGGATAAAATTTACGCCCGTCAGGCTCAGATTCGCGAACAAAATACAATCTTCGAAATGGTCTCGCTTAATGAAGGCTTCTTTGTCGGCCCTTGTAAGGTCAACTGCGCAGTACCTTTTGGTATGTCTACTGTTACCTCCTCCGAACCTTGAATGGACCACTTGACATTAAATTGAACTTTTCTTGGCATGATTAATTTTTTTTACCAGATAATGGGGATCGACTGATATTTGGGAATGATGTAGGGGTTTACCTTGCGGTCACATCTGACCCAACACAAGCTCCAGTACAAGTGATCCAGGTGGAGAATGTGACCCAGGTGGATATCATAGAGGAACAAGGGATCCTACTCGTGTTAGCGGACAAAGTAGTGATGACGTTTTGGATGGATGGACTAGATCCAAATGACGCAGCGGGAGCGGCCAAGCGGGCTAGAAAAGTCTCCTGGAATGCTAGCTTCTTCAAGGTCGGAGATTGTCTTGGCCGCAAACTCGTCTGTGTTGTCAAGGCCGGTAGCGTCTCTAGTACCATCAAAACTCTCAAGCCTACCGATAACCTTAATCATCAGCTCAACGTTCGCACTAGGACTAAACCCGCCTTCCGGAAAATCATTCCTGCTAATAATTCGATGTCCAATCCCAACGATCCCAATAACAACCCCTCCGTCGGCCAACAGAACAATCCGCCGACCGTTCAGAACGCCCTAGGAGAGATCGCGGTGGTGATGATCACGATGATCATGTTGGCTCCGAGTCGGATGTTGAAGAATCATTTGGAACTGATGCTCGAAGTGGAGGGGAAGACAAACTTTGGGAAGTTCCTGTCGAAGATCTTCAAGGCATTTTACTCGATCTTGAAGAACGCGTCCTTTCCGTCGAATTGGTTGAACGTCAACGTGATTTCTCACAAGGTGATCTTGAAGTTACTCGAAGTAGTTTCAAAGATCCTGCAACGGGAGTTCATCCCCACCACCGCCCACGAGCATGATCAATCGAAGGAGCAGATGAATCTGAAACGAGCCGGACATGTCCGAGAAGAGCCGTCGGGATCGGAGGAGGAGGAGCGCTTTGACTCAAACCTTTGGTCGGACTTCTTTGTCCTCAACCACGGTCTCCTCTCCTCTAAGCTGCTGATCATCGAGGAATATCCGCCTCAGAAACGTAGAGTGATCTGGAAACTTGCTGGCGATATTCGCGATGAAGGATCCAAGATCTTTAGAGCCGCTTGGGAATCTATCGGCGACTTCTCGATCACTATCGGCTCGCATAATCCTGCGGAAAATAATCCCAATCAGGATTCTCAGGATAATCCGGATCTCAATAAGGAAGATACCGATCAACTCACTGAGCCTCAGCACCAAATCAATGAAGTCACACGATGCGGTAAGCCTTACTATCTCTTTCGGGCATCTCTTTTTATGTTTTCAAGAAACAAATGCTGAGAGTTTTTGTTTTGTGTGCGTGGAATCGTAGGCGGATATCAAGTCCAATTTGTCCCCGGATTCATCGAACCTTTGTTGGAACTTTGTCTGTCCCATCATGATGAATTGAGCAGCAATGCAGTTATTGTGGTGTGTATTTTTTTTTTCTCGCAAACAAATTATTCGATTATTATTTCGATCAGCTGAATTGTTTCTCTCTCTTTTTGTGTATCAGCTGTACAGTGTGATCGTCAGCGAATTCAATCTCAACCGGGATTTGTAAGTGATGAGATCAACCCCGACGAATCTGAAGAAATATTACTGATGACAATGATGATGAAATATAGTACGGTGATAGCGGACGAGATAATCGACAAGCTAGACAACCTATTAGGAAGTTCGCCAAACGAGAACCTCTCGAACCAGATGGACGAGATGAGTCGGGCAAGCTTTGTGGGTCAGCTGCGGGGGCTCTTCGACCATTCTCCAATCATCGACCGGCAGGAAGATCCCGGGCAACAGGGCCAGCAGGCCGGGATCGAACAGGCGCTGAAGACTCGGATTGATCTCTTCCTCGACTCGCTCACTCAGTTCTTAGACCTCCTTCTCTCCATTCAAAACTTGCCCCCTGGCGATGAGGTCTGTTCTTCTCTTTCTCTCCTCCACTCCAATAAACCTCTCTCTCTTCTTCTTCTATTAATACGTCCCCTCTCTTCTCTTTCTTTCAGTACTTTCATGCTGCTCATGGCAACTTTGTCGAGGCTGGGTAAGTGATCACTAGAATTATTTTTGCATCCCGTTGGAAAATCTACTTCAATCATCTCACATTAACGTTGTCTTTGTTTTGGTTCGGGTCACAAATAGATTGGCGCTGAGATTGCATGCCGATTTGCACGAATGGGATCTCAATTCAATCGTTGATGCAATGCTGGGATTGTTGCTCCCTAAACAGACTGTCTTTGCTCCTAAAGAGGTACGTCAATTGATCCCCTCTTTCTAGTCAATTTTTTTTCTCTTCCTTATTCTTTTTTTTTTTTGGATATAGAAGAATAAAAAGACTGATAAACTCTCAACATGGATGTTCCATTTTTTTTCGAAAAAAAGGCACTGTATTTTAGGATTCTGGACTTCTTGTCCAAAGGCAAAGCCTGGGAAAGTGGGATCCAGATCTGTAAAGAATTGCAAGAACAGTACGAGCATGTGTTGTTTGATAACGAACGATTGTCTGAAGTCTTGGCCCACCAATCTTCCCTGTTTCTCAAGGTATTATATCAAATTTCTTTCTTTACTATTTAACAATATCTCTTCATTTTCCTAAGAAATATGCAATTGGTATCTGATTTTTCTTGGTTTCTTCACAAAACAGATCACTACTTTAGTGAATGTATGTTCTGCTTTTTCGCACCTAGTCTTCATGTTAGTAGTTGAACTTACTCTCCACGGCTGCTTGTTTGTTTAGATTTTCGAGTGGCTTTCTATGGTCAAGGGTTCATGTGAGTATCTATCAGCAATACAAAAGACGCACTGTTTCCCTTCACGCTGGGTCCTGACATCTCTTGTTGATGATTTGCAGACCTAGCGTACAAAATCGTCAATTTGTCTATCGAGGATACGAGTAAGTAATTAATAGATTTTTTTGATCTTGTCTGCTTTGAAGTCATATTGACATCAACTGGTTTGCCAGGTGGGAAAAATATGCAGCATTTTGTGATCAAATGCACAACAAGCATCCGAATGCGCAAATCCTCCAATCCGACACGATCTCGACGTATGAACTGGCGTATGCCGAAGGCCAGTATCTACAGATTACCAGAGTCGTTGCCGAACCTGATCGGATTACAGTCGTCTTTAAAAATCCTGAAGTCTCAAGCTCCGTTGTCAGTTACTATGAGCATAACGCTACTAAGACTTTCAGCCATTCTAAACCGTTCAGTAAGGATAATGTTGATCCTTCGGATACTTTTCAAGGCGCCTCTACATGCCTGTGAAAGGCTGGCTGTCACAGTTTCTCGTCCCATTTTTCTGACTTTTTTTTATCAACCCCCTTTTTTTTGCTGCTTGACCCCCTTCCAGCTCAACCTGCTTCGAAGTTCAAATTCACCTTAAACTTCCCTTGCCTCCCACTCACCTTCCTTCCCTCTAACCTTACACTCACCTCATGACTTCAAACTCATCTCGCTTACCACTAAACTCACACCTACTTTCCCATTCAGCTTGCTTCCAACTCACCTCCCTTCCCGCTCACCTCACACCAACCTCACTTCCAACTCACCTTCCCACTCACCTCGCTTCCAACTCACCTTCCCACTCACCTCGCTTCCAACTCACCTGAACTCACCTCGCTTCCAACTGACCTTGCTTCCAACTGACCTCGCTTCCAACTGACCTCGCTTCCAACTCACCCGGCTTCCAACTCACCTTGCTTAATCCAACTCACCTCGCTTCCAACTCACCTCAAACTTCCCTGCCTTCGAAGTCACCTTGTACTCACCTCACTTCTGAACCCCCTCTCTTTGGTAAGCCTTCTACTTTTCTTTTTGCGTCTACACCCTCCTCCCTGTGAGCCTCCTTGGGCCTGATTCAGAAGATAACCTTACCAAGGCAACGTATAGTACATACAAGCTACATTAGGTTGTTGGATGATTCTATTCAGCCCAATCATTGTTCCTTTTCCTTCTATCTTTCCCTTATCACCCAGATTACTAATAATACAATGTTTCCTTCCACTTCAGCTCAAACTTTGCCGTAAACAATCAAACCATTATTTAGTAAGCTAATTTCAGATGCTCTTCCCTATATCCTGGAAATCTTATCCTTGGGCTCAATTCAGAAGATAACCTTACCAAGGCAACGTATAGTACATACAAGCTGCATTAGGTTGTTGGATGATTCTATTCAGCCCAATCATAGTTCTGTTTCCTTCTATCTTTCCCTTATCACCCAGATTACTAATAATACAATGTTTCCTCCCACTTCAGCTTGAACTTTCCCGTAAACACTCAAACCATTATTTAGTAAGCTAATTTCAGATCCTCTTCCCTATATCCTGGAAATCTTCTCCTTCGGCTCAATTCAGAAGATAACCTTACCAAGGCAACGTATAGTACATACAAGCTGCATTAGGTTGTCGGATGATTGGGGTAACTCAAGGCTTCAACTCCTTTTCCTTCTCATTCCTTCTTTATCTCCCACACCTCCCAAATGCTATACATACTAACTCTTTCTCTATTCATAATTTGCCTAGCCATTATGATCTATCATCAGAACGATGATAGCAATTCCAGTTTGACTGAGCTCAGCAGTGATTCCAGTTTAACCGATCTCAGTAGTTCTTCCAGCGAAAGTGAAGCTGAGGACCAAGCAGGCCCTCCTCTAACCCGGCAGGAAAAAATCAAGTTTGTATACTTTTCTAAAAAGATTGAGTATTATTAAAAGCATTACTAACAAATGGATTCTCATTTTCAGTGCTCGCAAGGCAAACAAGAAACGTAAACGTAACCGTAACTGGGCTCGGAAGCAAAGTGAAAAAAAGCGACAGGCGACATTCACCTTTGTGACGGACTTGCCACCCAACTCGGGTACTGTCGTTTCTGATGTGAAGGTTGATAAGAAACGTGATCTGTTTCCGGACATCACTGCCAAACACAAAGAAAAAAAGCAAGAGCGGAAGTTAGCAAAGAAACTCTTTGAGAAGAAGCTTGGCCCACCCCCCTCGAAAGAAAAAATCCGCGCCCGATTACCCACTGATGAAGAAATTGCGAATGCCACCTCAATTGTTACGGACCCAACAAAATTTAGGCTCTATGATCACGGTCATGTCTGCATCTACGATAAACAACCAACCAGCGATAAGAAGAAACAAGTTGTTGCCGATATCACTTTCACCGATCTCAAAACTATCTCCTCACAAATGAGGGAGGATATCGATTTCTTTGTTGCTTTCTTGGAAACTTCAAAAAAATTTGTGAATGCAGTTGGATCACGCTCTCGCTCATGCGGTGGGTACATGTGGGCCATTGGATGGCGAAAATCCATGACAAAACTCGAGATCATCGGTCGCTACGTCAATACGGCCGCTATCAAGGCAAATCAAGAAGAATACGATCAACACGTTAAGGATTCGGATCGAGCTTCTTTAATCTTATGGAATCTTTTTTGGCCAGTAGGGAACCGAGCCCTCGAGACTAATCAAGATTTTATGGCCGAACATAATATTCCTGGCCTCTCCGATGCAGAACTTCCAAGCGAGACCTCAGAAGGTCAAAAGAAGTTCTTCTCAAGCAACCTAACATTTACTTCTGACGGCTTCTTTAATCACCCCCACAAGGATAAAGCAGATGATACTCGCCTTCCCTTTGCTTTCCTCTTGTGCCTTCCAACTTTCAAGTCTAAGGGCCAGCTGGCGTTCAAATCTGACGGATACGATGTGACTGGCGGTCAGTTTGTATTTCCTGAATGTGGCTTTGGTATTGATTTTAAACCGGATACAATGGTTCAGATGATATTTTCTCAAAGATTATATACTCATGGAACACTTAAGCCGACTGAAAGTAGTCACTTTACTAAATTAGGAATGTCTTTACAAATTGCGCAAAAAACCACTAATATTTGCGATAGAGTTTTAGCTGAAGAGTTTGTTAGTAAACCAAATATGCATGTGGGTGATGTGCCTTACATCATGAATAAAATCAAAAAATGAATATTAAATATATGCAAATATATCTTTTCTTATATTTCCTTTGAATTCTTTCTTATACATGCTATTAATCTTGTTAGTATCGTTCCATGAAATTCAAAATTAACTTTGATGGGTGCCAATCAATTTGGACTGCCCCTAGTTTTTTACAGGCATATTTGTGTTACAAGAGATGAAGGAATTTTGCAATGATGATTCTTTGAGTCGTAAAACTCAACCATGCCAGGCTTAGCTAGTCTCAAGCCAAATAGGCTTTGAGCTCTGATTTTGGCTAAACATTGCTAGATATAGCAATGGTTAGCTTGCAAACTAGCTAAAAGCAATCACGTATATCTGTATTTTATTGGGTGCCCAGGGCAAAGAATTACATGCCTCTACTTCAAACCATGACACATAGCTTAACTTGAATGAAAACAATCATTGATTCTTAAAAATTAGTAAAGACTTCGAGCTGGGATAGAGTTCAACAAGGGGTGTGGACCATGGCGGTTAGAGAAAGGGCAAATGAGTGAGTGTCGGCAGATCTACCAGAAGCCATAGATGGTGGTTTGATGATGTGATATAAGCCTTTGAGCCTCGATTCAAAGACAAAAGAAGTGGTCACATTGTTGGTGGATCAAGGGGAGAAGGGTACATTGTTATGGATTGAGCTGTCTGTGAGTCGCCATTGGTCGGGTTGCTGTGATATGAACTTTTGTGGATAATGGCGAATGTAAGGGTGGTATATTATTGTTAGCCCCGGTTGTTGAAGGAAAGGGTTGCTCATGGGGGAAGTAGTCTATAATCCTTTCAGTCTCTGAGAGCTCAAGGGGCTGCTAAATCTTGCTTAGATTCTGAACATACCAAAAGACGTGTGTTTTTGTGTGACAGTGTATTGTTCCATGGCTTTGCTATGACATAGGCATGGCTCACTTTGAACTTTGAAATTCTTGGCTCAAAAATAACAAAGCGCACAAATCGGCCTTTCAGTCCAACAATGGCCCATGGGTCATACTCGAGCTGGTGCAGAGTTTTCTGGTACATCCAATCAAACGTATGGAAACATGGAGGGTACGTATATAATAGGTCTACTTCCGAACTTAGCTGAACCTCATTGCCTCTCCATATCCACCATCAGGCTTCTTCACGCTAATATATCCAACATACTCTAACATGCAAGCAAACTACGGATTAGATTCAAACTCTGAGCTCAGCAAGAACAGTACGTTTAATTTTGACCTTGCTAGTTAGTTGACTTTATGGATGCAATTTTCATATGTATACGTGCCTTTTCTCCATGTAGGTTTTGAGGTGGTCACCACCGATGATATCAAGCCCGACCAACAAACGGTGTTGTCTATCAAGTCTGAAGAGGACATCAAGCCCGACCAACAAACCCTGTTGTCTATCAAGTCTGAAGAGGACATCAAGCCCGACCAACAAACCCTGTTGTCTATCAATTCTGAAGTGGACATCAAGCCCGACCGACAAACCCTGTTGTCTATCAAGTCTGAAGAGGACATCAAGCCCGACCGACAAACTCTATTGTCTATCAAGTCTGGACCAAGAGGTATGTTCATCATCTCCTTCTCTCAATCAATAGTGGGGCATAAAAGCTCACTATTGCCATTAGAGTCGAACTCAGACACTGGCCGTAGCGAGGATATGGCATCGGATTCGAAGGGAAGAACCGAGCCGAACTCAGACTCTAGTGGTAGCAAGGGTGTATCCAAGGTGACATCAGAGTCAAACTCTGAGAGCGATGATGGTATGTTTAATTCTACTTAGTTTGAAGCTATACCAACCCAGATCGTACATCCTAATGATGATATAACATATACATATTAGACTTTGTTTTTGTTAGAGCCGTTGATGCTGAACCGGACAATCGAGAATTAGCAAACTCTGCATTAGTGGGTGCGTCACATTGCCTGTAGTTTTTGGGTAGTTGTAACTTGTATGTGGTTGGCTCATTAATTGGGTCTTGATTTCTGGTAGAAAAAACTTCTGTCGAGCGCTTCACCAACCTTGGGCTGCAGTGGTTCTTTGAAGACTTCTTGGCGACAGGGTTTTTTAAAGGTGTCCTAACCCAGGCTCAGTTCTCCCAGGTTACTCAAGGACTTTCTACCTACTACGGCTTTAGCATTCCAATGTATATCAACTATATTCAAGGACCCGATGGACCAGATCCTGCTGACTTTCTCATCGGCAGCACACTTCGAGAATGGTCAGCAGCTCGGGCAGAGTGCTGTAATGATCTTGCTTTGCCAAATCTGGTGGCATTTAGACAGGTTGAATTTCAAGGGCTGGACGCAACCACCTGTAAGTAGACAGGCTCATGTCATGAGAGAATGGTCATCAATTCTGTATCTACCAAACTAAATCTTTTCTTGCTGGTTTGGTGAATATCTATGCACACAGCTTTCATTGGCTTCTTCAGAGGCACAGGAGAGTCTGCTTGGACTCTCATCCATCAACCTGCTGTTTTAGATTCTTAAATTTCTTTTCAATCTGGGTTTTCTCTCTCAACCGACCTTGTTTTCACTTCTTTCTTGATTTTGGTTTCACTTTCTTTGTCCAATACTTCTTTCTCAATCTTGTTTTCACTTTCTTTGTCCAATTTTCTTGTTTCAGTCTCCTCTCTGTTCGATATTCATGTTGTTTGTGCGTCACTTAACTTTTCCAATACAATCAACAAGTTTGATTTCAATTTATTTATAATGATACTGGTGATACTTTTGTGTGATTGTGATAGATTTGAGACTGGTACAATAGAAAAACCATTGACTGTGCAAATAGGCAACATAAATATATTCTAAAATATATTTCAAACTGTACATATGACTGGGGATACAGGGGAAGGACACATCTGGCACGGCACAATTGGCTAAACTCAACGGAAAATGAAGAGTAAGATAGAGTCTAGATATGGGTATAAATACGTATGTAATGTGTATCCTTGATCTATAGACTAAATATTTATGTATCCTAGTTCACTCCAAGTTCGCCCTTGGTTACAAGCTAGGCCACTGCCAGAAAACATGCCATCTACTCGATCAGTTCGTCGCTCCAATTGTATGTAGTATAGTCCTGTTCCCACCTACCCAACATTCATTTCCAGATAGATTCCTGCATTGAACGGACAGACATACCGACATCAGCTAACAGCCTCTCTGAACATCAGTCTCCCTAACTCTGGATTTACCTCTTGCTTGCCCTTCTTAATGATCACCGATAAGAAGCCTGCTCGACGAGTCCACGATTTGATTCCCAGCAAGTGTGTTTGGATCTCCACAGAATTTCGATGGGCTTTCTCGCTTTGCGCCGCTACAACTTCAACTGGAATTCCAAGATTTAACCAATCGCGAAAATCCCCACGAGCTTGATCCATCGAAACAACCACTGCCTCTCGAACGTGGTTCTTCAGCTGCTCGTGAATGTGATTTTGATAATTTACCAACCAATGCATCTCGACGTTGTTCAAGCGACCATGCAACTTTTCGAAGCGAGACATCTCCAACGCAGCCGTCCAGTAATCATCGGCTTCCAAGGCATTTCGTACTTTTTTGAAGGCGTCCTCACGGTTTGCGGTCTCTTGAGCGGTGAGCTGGGCTTTCATGTCTTGTAGTATCTTGCGAAAACGATGAAAACGCTTGAAGCTAAAGATGCTTCCCCGACTCGAAACTCCAGACAAGGAGGCGACTCTTTTGATCAGGACCATGGCGTTCTGGATGTTTAATGTTGGTATTGGTGTTGAGAGGTGTGTCGAATTACAGTCTGGTCTGAACACCTGTCATACTTTGCACCCGGGCAGGTTGGCTTACATGCAAATCACTAACATTGTAAATATTCCTTCATATTCTGCTCATTCCCTTTGTGGTGACCTCCTTCCCTTTTACCATCTACATACCTCTCTGAAAAACTCGGTCTTTTCCAGTCGATCTCACTTGGCTTGGTCTTCCATCTCCAACTTTCTCCTACTCGGTCTCTTACCTTTTCCTCTCATCCACCCACATCTCAAAGATGTCTCACTTCAATCCATACGACAAATGTTGGCACCTTGCTGACATCACAGCGTTCATTCACCAACTCGACTCCCATTACGATTTGCCTTCAAACATCAAGCTCGATGAGGCACGTGTGATTGCAATGGATCTAATCGTTGACCAAGCCTCACGATGCCCTTCTACCATCACCTACCCACCCCCCCGAAAAACCCGGGCCAGTCGTTCTCCTGCTCTTGCCAAAGCAACTTCAACTTCGGCAGCCACCTCCAAGAAAGCACCGCCGAAGAAAGCACCACCAAAGAAGAAACCATTGACCTCTGCACAGACATCCACCACCGATTCTGCTCCCAAACGCGTGCCGACATCAAATGGCAGTAACAGTGGCCACTCAAATCCAGTAGACAAGGGTAACACCCCTACTTCTGCTTCCTCACAAGGAAAATCCACCTCTGCGGCTCGCTCTGTTTCTAAGCGTCCATCACCCTCGCCAGCCGAACCATCAGCCCAGTCACCACCTAAAAAAACAAAGACCAACACTTCTACTTCTGCGAAAGTCCTCAAACCTGCCGTCACAACCTTGCAAACCAAGAAAAGTTCAACTTCGGTAGCCAAAACTCAACCAAAAGCGATGTCCAGCAATAACAGTTCAACTGCCCGATCTGCAGCCAAAACTCATCCAAAAGCAACACTCAGCAAATCCACTCAATCACGCAAACGACAAGCTTCTGTCCACTTTCAAGAACCGTCAGAAAAGTCTAAAGGTAAGAAGAAACGCCAATCACCATCACCATCAGATGAATCTTTCAACTCTCCAGAATCCGCCAACGATATTGATAGTACTGTGGACGAGGTTCAACATCAAAGCTTCGAGAGCGGTGAAGATTTTGGCGAAGTGGAGGTCTTGGAGGATGGAGTAAACTACTCATCAGATCTGACTGATCTTTCCTCCGAAAAACCACTTTCAGAAGAGGATTCACTTTCAGCCGAGGATTCAATTCCAGACGAGGAATCATCAAGTCCTGAATATGAACACGAGGAACCCACTGTGATCAGCTCTAGCTCCAGCAATCGCCGCCATGACCGTCAAGCCTCTACGAGCAATTGCCAGAGTGACCGTCAAGCCTCTACAAGAACACAAGCTGCTGCATGTAATCAGAATTCTAGAGCCGATCAACCTTCTAGAGCCAATCAACATTCTAGAGCTGATCAATCTTGTAGAGCCGAACAACAAGACTTGCGTACTCAAAGATCAAGCATTACAAAAGGCAAGCATACTCACAGAATGAGTAGCAGTCCACAAGTCTCCATACGTAACAAACAACCGTCTCATAACTCAGGTGATCCATCTCGATCTTGTGGTATGTCCTTAATTATTCACTTGGATAATCAGGAACTGACATCATTTTGACTATGGGTATTTAGGTAATCGTGAGACTTCACAAAATCAACAATGCCACCCCAGCAGGTCAAATCTTCCCCAGAGTTCTTGACACATCTTGCCACATCCAAATAGGTCAATCAATCGTTCCGATCACCAGGATTTCCCCAAATCAAGAGATCCTCAGAACTCAACTCAGCTTCTCGGAAGGGCCATGTCAATCGAGGAATGTCTTCAAGAGTATATGCCTGGATATGGTTAGTTTTTGGTTGCTGTTTAGTTGCTCACCTACAGACGTTCCAATAGCTGATGAATTGTAAAACTGTGTCAAGGAACTGTATCCAAAGCACCAGCCCAACAAGCTATATTGGACGTACCAGCCAAACAGGCTGTATCCAACATACCAGCCAAACAAGCTTTTCAGCCACAGTCTCACACCGGAAATGCAACAAGTCAAGTATACCCTTCTGGTGTACCATCAAAGCCCCAGCCAGTCGCTTCCTATGTTGCCCCTGCTCCCACCACCATAAGGAGTCAAGTATATCCGTTTAGTGTATCACCTGTACCCCAAATTGCTTCCTATGTTGCCCCTGCTCCTGCCACTTCCAGTACTCCAACAGTTCATCCAACGTTTCAACCGTCAGGGCAGCCACTTGGATCCGGAACATCTCAACTTTTTGGCTCTGTTGCTCCTCCACCTAATGCCTTACATAATATTCCGCTCAACTTCACTATCCCTGGTGTCGGTAAGGTGTTTCACTTCCTCTGATGTCTGATTTAACCGTTTGATTTGATTTTTTTTTTACTTTGAATCTCCTTGTGTACAATATCCATAGGTACATTCACACTCATTCCTGAAAATAAAAATCCTCTCTCCACAACGGCCTCGACCAATGCCACTCCTCAGCCCGCTGCACCTCCTCCAGCCACTACCAATGTGACTCCTCAACCTGCTGCACAACCTGCCGCCAAGACCAAGCCCACAGTCCCCAGCTGGGTTCGCTTGACAGATCATACTACACCCGTGGCCGTGGTTCCACCAAAGCCGTCAAAACCAAAAATGAAGTGGACACCTTTACTCATGACCGATACCATCAAGGAGGAACCTCCAACCGGAAAGCAAGCAGTCCTAGATTCCACAGGCCCAAGCAACTCCCATAATGCCGATGTTACGAAGTCGTCCAACCAGTTAGATGCCCGCCTTGGTAACTTAGAAAACTTATTAGGCGACTTAATCCAGTATCAAAGACAAGCAGCATCTCAAGTACCTTCTCAACCTCCCCAACAATCCACGGCACCCCACACATCAGCATATTTCAAACCTCCTCTCCTCCCTGGAATCAGTTCAACACAACCAATCACATCTCTCCAAGCTGATCCGATGCCTGCACAACCCACTGATCTCACTAGAATAGCTTCCAAGCCTCAGTCAACCTTCCTCAATCCTCTGCCCCTCAATGACGAAAAGTTAATTCACCCAAATCCTGCGGTATCCACTGACATAACTCGTCAAGCTTCCACTTCTCAAAAACTATTTCATCCGATGCCTGCAAAATTTACCAACTTCACTAGCCTCACGTCTACTTCTCAAAAGCCTGGACTCACTAGTCAGCCATCCAAATTGTTCAAGAGCAATCTGGACGTCAAACCCTTCCAACCACCCACCACCTTCAAACCGTTCACCTTCTCTCCTGTACTAGGCAAAGCCCCTACCTCTCACGGTCTTGATAGTTCCAGCTCTCACTTTACATCCAGCGCATCGACATTTTCCTCATCAACTGCTAGCAACCAAGACAACCCAACACGACAAACTGTTCCTTGCCCTGCTCGCTCATCAAACACCTTTTTGTCCTTGAATACCACAAGTGTCACGGCGCCTGTTGTTGCAAAAGATGCTATCAAACATCCCAAGAATTATCTAGCGCTGTCACCCCTAGAATCTTGCTCATCTGGTCCAACGACTCTTCAGCCTACACCCATGGCAAGTACATCCACATTCACACCTACAACTACCACGGTTGCACCCACACCTCCAACGACCACTCCAACGACCACACTGCCACCCGCACCTACACCTACAATGACCACTCCCATTGCTTGTGTTCATCTTTCTACAAAACCTGAGGGTATGTAAGTTCATCATATTCAAACAGAAGAATCACTTTTAACCAGTAAACACTCCTATATCCAGTTTCTTTTCCCAGCTCGACTTCTCCTCAATCTTCCAGTGTTGCTTCCGCTCTCTCAACTTGCGAAGATGAAAAAGGCCGACAAGCTCGCAAAGAAGACACACCGGTATCTAGCCAAGTTCTCTTACAGGCTCTACAATCCACACTTTCACAACCATCTGATCATCTGCCTATCGAAAAACACCCACAAGATCAAAAAGCAGACCCGCCGGGACCTAGCCAGATTCACGTATCTACAGTTTCCTTTCCCAGCTCGACTTCTCCTCAATCTTCCAGTGTTGCTTCTGCTCTCTCAACCTGCAAAGATGAAAAAGGCCCACAAGCTCACAAAGAAGACACACCGGTATCTAGCCAAGTTCTTTTACGGGCCCTACAATCCACACTTTCACGTCCATCTGATCATCTGCCTAAAACTTCCCGTCCAACTGATTCAGCTACCAACCAATCACCAATTGATGTGGTTAGCAGTCCTTCCTCAGCTGTGGTCAGCAGTCCTTCCTCAGCTGTGGTCGAAGATACACCCATTCAAAACAGAGACACTCTTGCATCTAGCCGAAACCTTTGCCAAAATATTATATCTACACTTTCATACTCATCCGTCGCACATGTCGTAAAGCCTTCCAACATTCTTATTGAAAACGCCTCCAAGATTTCTGCTGCTGTTTCAGGTTTAACTCCAAGCACTTCAGATCATCAGTCTCAACCAGAAGAACAGACACCTCACCCGCTTGAAATTGATGCTCTTTCAACTGCCTCCAACGAGTCAACATCAGACACTGCTTCTAACGAATCAACTTCAAACTCAGAAGATGATGTGAAAAGCTCTCCAAGGCAACTAACAGCTCATCCACGAGCAGCAGAAGCAACCTCAACATTGGCATTCTCAGCATTGGCATTAGTAACCACAACTCATCAAGATTTAGCCGCACAAAAAGCTGAACCTGTGGTAGACTATGACTATCCTGTGCAGAACTCATCAACTGAATCTCAGGACCCTACAGCGACAAATACTCATGAAGGTTTGACTGATATCAAGAAAATTTAACCAAAGTGGTGGTGCCTATTTTTCATCTATTTATTTATTTTCTTCTTGTTCATGCCTTTACTTGTAACGTGTCACAGCATGTTTCCTTGTACATAGTTTGGTAGTTGAAATTGTTGGCTTACTGCTGCTCTTCTTGGACTTCCTTTTTACTAAGCTCGCTACTTGAATTCCTTTGACTACTGATCATCTTGGATTATTTTGCTTGTGAATTTCATCTTCTTTCTTGTACATATTTATGCCGATGTCATGTGATTGTTATAATTCCAATTAAATTACTTTGTAAATGTCAATTGTCGCACAGCAAAGTCTAGTGAGGCCAGTGTGCTTGTGGAGCCTGTAACGGTCAGGCAGGGTGCTCATTGCATAGCATAAACAAGATGAGCAATGAACATTCTTGTAATTGAGACATAGAGGAAAATAGAACAATGAGAATGTTTGAGGGGAACTGAGGATATCGTTGACAAGAATGTTTTAGAGGAACTGAGGATATCCTTGACTGTTCAGTGTTTAGAGTTAAAGGGTCTGAGATATCAATGACCATTGAGTGTTTAGATTTAATAGGTCTAAGGGATGATAAGGTGAGGACGATGAGGATTTATCAGATGGATATGAGGATTGATCAGATGGATACTTAGTATCGTGCTGAGCATGTAATTACACTATGTTGTGACACATGCCCTTGCGAGCGAAATGCTTATACAATCAGCAGGTCCAGGAATGTAGCTGTGCATGGCATGCATACTACGATGGCTCTTGCTCCCGTTTCCCTTTGTCAAAATCAACCAACCACCACCATCTCACCGCATGTTCATCACTTCCCCTTCACATCGATCACGACTGCCCACAGCCCCCGGAATAAAATCGTGTCTTTGGTGAGCTTAAGTTCTTAACTCTTATTTCAATCACTTTCCTACCAGGTCATATCACTTATTGACATAACCCAATCTCATCAATCATCTTATAATATGCCTATCGCGACTGGAGACTCTCGAGCACCCCAAGGCTCCAAAACACTGAAAAATCGAGGGTTCAGAGTAGGCTGTTGTTGCTTCAGCTATGGATGCAACAAGTTTTGGTACATTGATTCCCGAGGCATAAGACAGCGCGGTGTTGAACTTGCAGTTGCAATCCAGAAACGACATAGAGTTGCAGACACAGTTGATCTCAAGAAACGGCTGGTGGCAGAAACGGTTGAGGTCACATCCACTGAACAGCGGTCTTTGTGTTGGTTTGTTTTTGCTTATTGGACCACAAGTGCTAAAACTGACTCTTTGGACTTATTCCCAGCTTCAAGTGACAGTGAGTGGGATGACTCGAGTGAATCAAGTGACTCAAGTGAAGGCCAGTCAGGTCAGTTAGCTGTCTTCTACTACGATATGGACAAGATGGCTTAACTACCACGTTTCCAATAAAGCCTGCGCAGCTCAAGAATCTTTAGATAACAACAATTTGAATGCGACTGGACGTCACGAGTGCGAAAGCTCTGAAGTCATCGAGAGTGGCTCATGCGGTGTTGGCAACCTTTTCCAGAAAGACTCAGAGGCCATATATGACTGTAGTAGGTGCTATTTGCCAACATCCATATCCCTTTGGCTGTCATTGTCTGACGTTTACATAATTAGGCTCCCTTTATCGCAAGCAGCTCGTTCATTCGCATCCAGCCATACTTCATTTATGTTTGTTTTCTGCCATTTGCCACGTTCTAGAACATTGTTCTGTCGCAACATCTTCGTTCATCTTGAAGGCTCAAGCCGATTTCATCACGATTCTCCTATCTCGTGGCCTTGACGATCAAAAATCACATACTTTATCCAACTCTGAACAGAAAATTCTCAAAAGCATTCCAGTTGACATTCACACCGTCCTTGGCTGGCTTCAGATTTCACCTCGCCTCAACTGTTTTGTCTGCTGTAGTAGCTGTTTTGCGCTTTATCCCAACAAACAGACAGCCCCTGAACATTGCACCTATCTCTACATCCAGAAGAAACTACCTGATGGTCCTGACTTGCCTCCCAATGATGAACGCACAGTATGTGGACAACCCCTCTTCAAGAACACCAGCTCCAATTTTCCCACTCGCACCCCAGTTCGCCAATATGCCACTCAAGATCTTTCTGATTGGCTCGCACGATTGCTTTCTAGACCCGGTATTGAAGATGTGTTGGCTTCAACTGCCACAAAGTCTCAAAAGCCCTACGACCCATCTTATGTCAGTGACATTCAAGAATCTCGCGTCTGGAAGGAATTTCTGGGTCCCAACGGCCAACAGTTCACCTCTCAGAGTAGTAATCTTGTTGAGTTTTCGTCCTGCTCCGCGCACTCAATGAGACTGCGGAGTACGTTGATCAACCGCTTAGGGCTTGAATCACTTTCCATAAAAAGAAAGTCTTTGAACCATAATTCTTTTTTCCTCATCCGACCGAGAAAACACCGCGGACCAATCTCCTCAAGACTTACCTGACGAACGATACTCATCGAACGTTCAAGAATCTCGGAAGCTCTGATCGTAATGTAAACAAGAATCAATCCTCGGTCGATTCAATCCTGCCCTGACATCCTATCTTCTTTTCTCTTTTTTTCTTTTTCTTCTCTTTCATATTCAGAACGACTGTTCTTCTGTTTATCCCTTCCTGATTGTGTGTGTTGAACTCGAACATATCCAACTTGCTGTTTGTTTATATTTTTTTCTTTCTCTTTCTTTTTTCTAGCTCTTTGTGGTTGTTGTCAAAAGAACTAATCATTTCTTCTTTGTTATCTTCCTTGTTCTACTCTTTTCATTTTTAGTCTTCATCTTCGGATTCCTTATCCTTATCTGCTCCCTAAGTCCTCGTGATCTCATTGTCATCCACATCGACGGTATGCTTCTTTTTCACTTCTCTCATTGTCATTTTCTAATATTTCTCTTTTCTCATTCTGACTCTGTTTTTGTTTCATCTTAGTTCTGGTTTCTGTTTCTCTGCAATAAAATCAAATTTCTTCACGATTAACAGTCGAAAAGAACCTCTTCGAACCAAACTGAAACCTGAAACCAGAAAGCCGATTACAGAATCATGGATGCTGTCAATCCGACTATTCTAAAAATGACCATCGAGGCCATCCCCATCCTCAACGAGGAAAACTTTTCTAGCTGGCGAACTCGCATTTCTGCTCTCTTCAAACTCGGCGGAGTAAAAGATAAAATGATAACAGGAGAGCCAGAATTAGACGACAATGACAATACGATGCTCTGCGCCATCATTATCGCCAAAATCTCCCCATCAACCCACAGCAATGTTGTGAACACGACCAACGAGATTAATGCTCAGCTCCTCTGGAAAGCCATCATCAAACGGTTCATTTCATCCGAACCGTCCAATCGAGCTCGAGTATACAACGCCTTCGCTAACATTACCTTCAGCGCTAGCAACATAGAAAAGTTTATAACCGAAGTAAGAAGCTCCATCGTCAAGATGGAAGATGTTGGAATTAAACTCCCCGAGGATATCATAACCTAAGATCTTCTCAGAAGACTCCCCAGCAGCCTCGACAACATCAAACAGAGTATCACACACTCGAAAAACGGCGAAGAAATCAAGCCAGAATCGCTCTTGGATCACTTGGAGATTCACCTCAACGAACTGAAGGTGTCGACGGCAAACAAAGTCGAATCGGTTACCGCCACCATGTTCACCAAGGAAGACACTCGCTGCATCCCTGGACATCATAATCCTTACGCCAAGACCCACCCGAAGGATGACTGCTGGAAAGTGTATCCCGAAAAACGCGAAGCCTACTTGAAAAAAAAAGAAGAATCACAAGTCAGCTCCTTCTCTACCTTCTCGCTTAACCATCCCACAACCTTCATTCTGGACTCAGGATCCACGTCTCACATGATATCTGATCGAAAACTCTTCAAACATCTAGACGAAACAGAAGGCGGTCTGATCAATACGAGCTGCGGAATGAATACCTTGGCCATCAAGGGAAAAGGATCTGTTGAACTACTCTTCAAAGAAAAACCTATTATCCTTCACAACGTCCTGTTTGTTCCAAAAATGACTGTCAATGTTCTCTCTCTGCGCCACCTTCTGCTTGAGCAATGCACCATCAATTTTTCTATCAACCATTTCACTATTCTCAAGAATAACGAAATGTATCTTGAAGGACGCTACCATCACAACTTGCCTGTCCTTGAGCTGCTTCCTCCTCTCCAACACTCTCATTTGAGCTCCGCCGAAATGTTACACAAATCACTGGGTCACATCAGTTATCGGAGAATCAGACAAAAACTGGGAATTCCCATTAAAGCCCCAGAAGTCTGCAAATCATGTGCAGTCGTAAAAGTCACTAAGTCGTCGTTCAAGAACAGATCGTCGTCGGCATCTAAACCGCTGGAAGAGTTACATCTAGACCTGATCGGTCCAATCGCTCTGATGTCCTACAAGAAACACAAGTACATTCTTACAATTGTAGATGCTAATACACGGTTTGTTGCCGCTGTTCCTCTGGTCTCTAAGGCAGACACCTTCAAGGCACTCACTCACGCAATCGACGTAGAGGCAAAGCGACTCGGATACTATCCCTCAATCATACATTCCGATAGGGGAACAGAGTTCACCAACTTAGAGCTGCAAGAATACTGTATCAAGCATGTGATCAAGCAACGGTTCTCGGATGCGTATACTCCGCAACAAGACGGTCTAGCGGAGAGATTTAACCGTACCATCTTGGAATCGCTTCGAACGATTCTTCTAGATTCTGGACTCAGTCCGAACTTGTGGAATGAGATTCTTAGCACCTGCACCCTCACTCTCAATCAGATCCCGACCCATCGCAGCAAGAAATCCCCATATGAACTGTTCAAATTAAGGACGGTGCCGCTCAACTTCTTCAAGCCTCTAGGCAATCCATTGGTCGTCGTGTCTCAGGAGAAGAAATCCAAGCTGGAACCAAGAGGAGACTTTGGTAAACTGCTCGGTTTCAATGTCGATCTCAAATCTTATAAGGTTCAACTGTCCGATGGAAAAATCATCGATACCAAAAACGTCCAATTTCTTGATTTTGACTCTTCTGTCCCTGCTCCAACTGATCTCAGTGACCTGATTGAAGAACAACAACAGGAAAAAGAAGTGGAACCTGTCCAACCTCTCGATAAAAGTGACAAAGAGGAAGGTGAAGAAACCATCATCAAGGAAGAGGAAGTCGATGAAGATTCAATCGGAACCAATGATCACTTTCAATCTGCAGACTCTAGCTTGTCGGAAGATGAAATGGAGGTCGCAGAAGCTCTCATTCCTGCTGCTGATGCGCATGTTGGTCGTATCCTACGCGATCGAACTCTTCAGGTCAAACCTGTGAAGTACACTCACTTTTCGGAGTATTCCTGTTTTTCCGAGGATCCTAAATCTTTCAGAAAAGCTGTCTCTGGATCGGACTCGGCGCAATGGAAAAAGGCCATCGGGAACGAGCTAGACAATATAGAAAACCATGATGCCTGGCTCGATCAATACGAGGAGCCGGACAAATCTCTGGATACCACCTGGGTATTCAAGACCAAGCCTGCCACGAACTCTTCGGAAGAAAAGAAAAAGGCTCGACTTTGCATACAAGGATTTCTGCAAACCTACGGCGAAGACTTCTTCGAAACCTTTGCTCCCACCGGTAAATTTCCGTCTCTCCTGACCCTGTTGGTGCTTGCTATCGACCTCAAGATGCCAATCAAACAATTCGATGTAAAAAGCACGTTTCTCTTCGCTCCACTGGATGAAGATATTTATATCAAGACTCCTCAAGGCTCTCATCGTTCTGCACCCTACTTGAAACTGGTGAAGTCACTGTACGGCCTGAAACAGGCTCCCAAAAACTGGTACGACACTCTGACCAAGTGGTTCCAGGAAATTGAGTATAATCCTTCGGTGTCGGACGCCTGTCTTTTCATTCACAAGAACAAGAACTCCTTTATCTTCTTTCATGTTGATGATCTTGTAGTCGTCGGACAAGTTGAAGCATTCGAAGAGCTGTTCTTGTCGCGGTTTCCCAATTCAACTGCCCACGCGCCAGACACCTTATTAGGCATGAACCTCTGCATTATGCCTGACTCTATTGAGCTGTCGCAGCCGGCACTCATCAAAAAGGGACTGGAACTCCTGAAATTGGAAAATTGCAGACCTGTAAAGACTCCACTTACTCCAGCTGTTCAGCTGCACTCGGCAACCGATGACGATCACAATCAATTCCTGAAACTGAACATCAATTATCGATCGTATACCGGAATGCTGAACTACCTTGCCTGCCGAACACGACCAGATCTCTCCTCTGCCGTGTCTATGCTCTCTAAATTCAACCAACGACCCGGACTTACCCACTGGAAGGAAGTCGTACACTGTTGGAAGTATTTGAAGGGAACATCCAATCTGGGACTTCTTCTACAACCCGACCCTAATAAACTCATAGATCGAATCAATTTTTTCACCGACGCCACATGGGCTGAGGATCAAGAATCAAGGATCTCACGCAGTGGTTCTCTAGCATTCTGGAAATCTTGTCCAATTCTCTGGAACAGCAAAAAGCAGAAAAATATCACCATGTCTTCGACAGAATCTGAGATGAATGCTCTGTCAGATGGCGAACAAGAAAATCAATGGCTGTCCTTCCTCATCGAGGAGCTGTGGCGCATCAAACTGTCACCCACTCTCTTTCACATCGACAACAAGGGGTTGATGGAAAAGCTGAAAAACTTTGGATCCAACTCAAAGACCAAGCACCTCGACATTAAGATCAAGAGCCTGAGGGAGAAATTCAATGCAAAAGAAATTGACGTCAAACTGATCCCATCACCTGACATGATTGCCGACTCGCTGACAAAAGCTGCTCCTCACTCATCACTGAAGAAGCTCCAACAGAAATGTCTAAAGGTTCTTTCGTCAACAACCAAGGAGGGCTGTTGAGTTTTCGTCCTGCTCCGCGCACTCAATGAGACTGCGGAGTACGTTGATCAACCGCTTAGGGCTTGAATCACTTTCCATAAAAAGAAAGTCTTCGAACCATAATTCTTTTTTCCTCATCCGACCGAGAAAACACCGCGGACCAATCTCCTCAAGACTTACCTGACGAACGATACTCATCGAACGTTCAAGAATCTCGGAAGCTCTGATCGTAATGTAAACAAGAATCAATCCTCGGTCGATTCAATCCTGCCCTGACATCCTATCTTCTTTTCTCTTTTTTTCTTTTTCTTCTCTTTCATATTCAGAACGACTGTTCTTCTGTTTATCCCTTCCTGATTGTGTGTGTCGAACTCGAACATATCCAACTTGCTGTTTGTTTATATTTTTTTCTTTCTCTTTCTTTTTTCTAGCTCTTTGTGGTTGTTGTCAAAAGAACTAATCATTTCTTCTTTGTTATCTTCCTTGTTCTACTCTTTTCATTTTTAGTCTTCATCTTCGGATTCCTTATCCTTATCTGCTCCCTAAGTCCTCGTGATCTCATTGTCATCCACATCGACGGTATGCTTCTTTTTCACTTCTCTCATTGTCATTTTCTAATATTTCTCTTTTCTCATTCTGACTCTGTTTTTGTTTCATCTTAGTTCTGGTTTCTGTTTCTCTGCAATAAAATCAAATTTCTTCAAATCTCGTATTTGGAATGTTCACAGATGCAATCAACCCTTACGGCAATCGACAATCTGGCAAACACGTCTCCATTACCTTTATCATAATAGTATGTCTTAGCCTGCCCATTGAGCTCCGCCGCCTACCCGAGAACGTATTTTTAGCTGGAATTGCTCCTGGACCTAAAGAGCCATCTGTTGACCTCTTCAACTGGATCCTCATACCAATTGTTGAGCAGTTACGCATCCTTTGGCGGCATGGTATTTTTCTTTCCCAAACTCACCGGCATCCAGAAGGAAGGCGAATGTTTGCTGCTCTCTTGCCATTCTTCGCTGATCTACCCGCCATACGCCGTGCTTTGGGTTTTGCCAGTCCCAACGCCACCCGCATGTGTTCATATTGTTTGCTTCCGAGAAAAGACATCAGCAATCTTGACTCCAACACTTGGCCCAAGCGTACTCTAGAAGATCATACCCTCTGGGCCACAAAATACCATAATGCCCATACCAGTACACTACGCGATCAACTCCTTCAAGACCATGGTGCACGATATTCAGTCCTTCTAAAACTTGAATACTGGAATATAATCGATTATCACGTTGTCGATTCAATGCACAACCTACTCCTGGGATTGCTGCAGTGGCATGCTCGCAAATTCTGGTGCATGACAGACAAGGACAATAACACATCCGAAGTGACTGAAGATATTGAGCCAGATCCTCCCACTACCTCTCTTGATGATGAAGACAACCCAAGTGACTTGCCATTTGATCCAAGTGCTATAGATGATGGATGGGGCGAGGATTGGACTGTTACCTCTGAGAAGGTAATTTTTGATTCACGTGCTCTAAAGTTCATAAACGGAATGCTTCCTCGAATTCGAATTCCTACTTGGATTAAACGAGCAATACCAGTTCTTGGAAAGGCGTCATTTGGATGATTGAAGGCAGACGAATGGCGAAACCTATTCACGGTCCAACTACCGCTTGTCCTACCGGTGTTCTGGAACAAGCCGCTTACTGAAACAAGGTCTCTTTTGCACAACTTTGCTCACCTTGTCTCACTTGTCAATCTAGCTACAAAACGCTCGACAAGTACCGAACAGATTAATCGCTATCGTCACCATATTAAATCATATCTGAAAAGCTGTCTGGTTATATTCGAGGATGTGAATCTTGCCCCTAATCATCACATGGCTATGCATTCGGCTGATTGCATGGAAATGATGGGACCTACACGGTCTTACTGGTCATTCCCTATGGAACGTACGATGGGGCAAATACTGAAAGTGTGTGATAATAACCGACTTGGTAAGAATTTATCTCTATTTTTGTGAACACTGTTGACTGGATTCTAATGGTATATATCTTTTTTTTGTTAATCACTGTCTCGAAGGTGAAATGGAAAGAACATTTATGAATAAATTCTGCCAAGTTGGCAACCTCAAAGCCCTCCTAGAAATGCAGCAGCTACCTCCATCAATGGATCCCTTTGTCCGTCAATTACAAGCATACTACAATCCTATCCCGTTCACGCCAGTCACCAACCACCGCAAGTTTAACGGGTCCCTCAATGATCGACTCTTTGAAATGCTGATTTATAAAATCAATCAAAAGTTTTCAAATGGAGTCAAGACATGGATTGCATCAAACAAATACTCGGAAAAAGAGGCGTCTGTTCGTTCAAACTGCATACCTACCACTTCTCGGGTGACATATCTTAAGAACCATTCGATTGGTGGTGAAATCTATTCAACATATTGTGTGAATGAACACAACTGTACAGTCAGTCTCAAAGATAATTCCAAGGCGTCTTACGGTCAAATTGAATCAATTTTTGAGCATTCACGCACTGGAATGAATGATGAAGTATCTCAAGATGTGTTCTTCATCATCAAACCACTGATGGCAATTCCTCCAATTGCTAGCAATCCATTCAGACAACTATCTGACTACGAAATGCAGGTGTCTCTCCGAATGCTTGTATCTGAGACAAGTGATATGATTGTTCATGAGAGTGAAATCCATTCTCACTGTGCTTGGATCAAGTTCAAACCTGGAGAGATTTGTGATCAAATTGATTTTGAGACAATTGCAGTTGTATTGATAGATAGAAGCTAAAGTATTGTTTTTGACTTCATACTTCTTGATTTAACTAGTTTTGATTTCTTGTATGTACATACTCTCTTGTATTTATGGATTCAATTGTGATTTCTTGGTCTAGTACTTGCCACCAAAAAATTAAAAAAAATGAACAAAAAACATTTCAACAATTCAAAAACTGAGAAAAAAAATGGAATTCATCAAAATACCTGATTTTTTGATCAAAGTTCCTCAGGGAAAAATGAACAGCCATTGTAGTGAAACTCAACAGTTCATTTTTAATACTGAAATTAGACACATTTTTTCACTTAAATTTCTACAGGTTAATTTTCATTCTTTTTTGACATTTTAAATTATTTTCCTACACTCTAAGACATGTAAAAAATTATGGTAAAATTCATTTTGCATCAAAATGAAAACTACATCTTGAATACTGCATTTGACACCATTTCTTCAACTAATTCTTCACTTTTTCACTTAATTGTTTGCGTACATGTGTGTACCTTATTTTTTATGCTTTTTTGAAATTTTAAAGTTTTTTCCTACATTTTAAAGTGTGTAGGATTTAATGGTAACATCCAATTTTCTTAAAACTCAACCGTTCATTTTTAATACTGACACTAGACACTTTCTTCAATTGATTCTTTACAAGTTATTTCTCAATATTTTTTGACATTTTAAATTTATTTACCACACTTCAAGACATGATTAAAATGATGGTAACAACCATTTTACATGAAAATCATTGCTTGTTACTGAATACTGTGTTGGACAGGTTTTTTTTAATGGTTTTTTAATTGGTTTTTACCGGCTTAATTTTGAGCATTTTTTGAAATTTTAAATCTATTTCCTACATTTACAAATGTGTAGAATTGAATGGTGAAGTTCAATGTCACCAAAAATACAAGCTTCAATCTTAATAGCTGAGCGTACCCCGTTTCTTGCATAATTTGTACCATCTACAAATTTTATTTGAATGCAAAATGGATACAGCCATCAATTTTTAAACCTTTCAAAGTGTAGGAAATGAGCTTGAAATTCCAAAAAATAAGGATAATTGCACATGTAAGAATGAATTTGGGAAACACGTCAAAGGCATTATTCAAGACATAGTTTTCATTTTGATGAAAATTCATAGTTACCATAATTTTCTAAATGTTTGAAAGTGTAGGAAAAGAGTTTAAAATGTCAAAAAAGAATGAAAATTAAGCTGTTAAAAATCAATTGAAAATTATGGCTAATTACAGTATTCAGCATGAACGGTTGGGTTTAATGGAAATTGAACTATACCATTGAATTCTACATGTGTTAAAACCTAGGAAATAAATTTAAAATTTCAAAAAAAAACATAAAAAATAAGGTACACACATGTATTCAAACAATTAAGTGAAAAAGTGAAGAATTAAATAAAAAACGGTGTCAAATGCAGTATTCAAGATGTATTTTTCACTTTGATGCAAAATGATTGTTATCATAATTTTTTACATGTCTTAGAGTGTAGGAAAAAAATTTGAAATGTCAAAAAAGAATGAAAATTAACCTGTAGAAATTTAAGTGAAAAAATGGGTGTAATTTGAGTATTAAAAGTGAACCGTTCAGTTTTAAAAAAATTGCATTGCACCATAAATTTCTACACACATTGAAACCTAGGAAATAGTTTTAAAATTTCAAAAAAGCATAAAAAATAAGCTATATACATGTATGCAAACAATTAATTGGAAAATAAGTGGAAAAAAAAAATTAATAATTAAAACTCATTTTTATGGAAAATGGTTTTTACCATTAAATTCTACGCTTTTTATAGTGTAGGAAACAATTTTAAAAATTCAAAAAAACTTGAAAAATAAGCGGGAAAAAATTAAATAAAAAACCGCGTGCAAACGCGGAATCCGCGTGTGCTGTGCCGCAGCAAAACCGCGTGTAAACGCGGATTTACCGTGTGTTTTTATTAACAGCCCTTTTTTCATTTTTAAATCCGAATCCGAGACAATAAATT